TGTGTACCCAAGAAGTGGCTGTTACTAGCTGTGTCTAACAGCATCTTGAACCGTGGTGATATTCCTCTGAAGAAAGTACTGAGCAACGACTCGATAAAGAAACCATGATGAGGGCAGCGCAATGTGTAACTTTGAAATCTTTCCCACGCTGTACTTTGTGCGGGCCGATCACCTAATTGATAGTAACTAACAATGTGATTTACCATATGTATGTTAACATAGCATTTTATAATTTTATTTAAATAATTGAAATCCGAATCCATATTCACAATATAAAAGATTGCAATGTGTTCTTTTTTATTCTAACCCATTTTTTATTAGTATATATTTGATGATAGTTTAAATAAATAAATAAAACATCATTTTTTGCAATTGAAAGTGCATATGCAGCTCTTGGTTTCCCCTAGACACTTGCCTGATCCTTTCCACTTTTCAGTACACTGATTAGCACATTGTGTAGGGTTACAGATTTGTGGTTGTACAAATAAGTCATGACATAATTCTTGTCTTTGCGTATCTTTCATCGCATTGCCTAATAATAATACTGATAAATATATCAAAATCATCTTTTTAATCTTAACCAAAAATATATATTAATATCATATAAATATTTTAATCATAAATTAAAATGAAGATGAACAAAAAAATCACTAAATAAAAGAGAAGACACATAGAAAATATATATAATAATTCTTGAGTGTAAAACAAATCTAAAACTAGAATGAGCATGAAGATAGCAAAAAAAGTGGCTTTAGTCATTTTATGATACAATTGATTAAATATTTTATAAAAAAGACAAAGATGTAATTATATTGTACTCCTGAATATCATATATATAAGAAATTTGATGCATAATATATATCTACTTAATTCAGCTAATAATTAATAAGTTTCTCAAAGCAAAGATAAAACCAATAGGAAAGATATCAAGAAATAATATAAAAATAGAAATATACAATAATATAATGAATCACAATTAATAATATTAAATCATAAATGCAAAATATTATAGAAAAAGTTAAAATTAATTAAATAAATCTGAAAAATCAATTAATATTAAATAGTGAGTAAGTAAATAATTATCTTTAAATCAATTAATTAATAAGTAAATAATTAATTACTCTAAATTTGATTGCATCATAATAATAAGCTATTAATTACAAAATTTAAAAGGACATGTGTTATTCTCTCCAATTTAAAAGGGGCGTCATGAATCTTCCTCCTCAAGGGTCTCCCTTTGTATTCTCTCTCTACAGTTCAATCTTCTCTCTAGGCTTCGGTTTTCCATCTCTGTCTCATTTGGCCCATTCTCCCTTTTTATACCTCTTTTCTCCTGTCCCGCCCTATCAGTGCGGCGCATGGTGGGAGCAGCACGCCTTGGACTTAGAAAGCTCGCCTTAGACTTGGAAAGCTTGCCTTCGACTTGGAAAGCTCGCCAACTGCCAGTAATGGTATGCTTAATTTACCACACATCTATCTTACTTTTCTGTACAATTATCTCATATTTGTTTTTAATTCTACTGCCAGCTTATTCAAATCATGGTGATCCAACATATAGCTGTGCAAAATGTGATGCTATATTCTGGTATGAGGAACATGTTAACAAAAGAAGAAATGACAAAAGCATATTTTTAACACATTGTTATTTGAAAGGAGCAGTTAAGTTACCAATCCTTAAACATGTTCTTAATATTTTAAAAGCATTATTAACAAACGATGAATATATCAACAGACAATTTAGAGATAATATCAGAGCTTACAACATGATTTTTATATTTACATCTCTTGGTGGGAAAGTTGATAGATGTATTTCTAATGGATGTTGACAACCGATGTTTCAACTTCAAGGTGCAAACTATCATAGGCTTGGTAGTTTGAAGCCTCAAGACGGTGACTATCCTAAATTTTTACTGCCCTGTATTATTGATACTCAAAATGAAGTAGATAATAAAGCAGAAATCATAAGGTAAATTTTGTAAAATTAATAAATTTATATTTTTTTACCAAACTCTGTATTCGAAAATGCAAACAACTTCTTTTCATTTGCAGTAAGGGTAAGAAAACACAGACTGTTGAGGAGAAAAAAAAGTTTCGGAAAGATATTATTAAAGCTCTCATGAAGATGCTCAATGAAGTCAACCCATATGTTAAGGTCTATAGGATGTCCAAGGAAAGATTTCATACAAACGAGGATGAATCATTCTATATGAGGATTGTTGCTGATTGCACATGAAAGGATGGAAGGACATATAGTATGCCTACAACATCTGAAGTAGCTGCTTTGATTGTTGGGGATTAATATATATATATATATATATATATATATATATATACAATAGATGCATAGTGGTTATTAGCTCATTTCGTAACTAGAAACGAGAATTTGAATTTACTTCAAATGTACTTAACGGGGGATTTTTTGCTTTTTAACTAGAAATGCCAGAGAGAGATATCATTGTTCAAGTAAACCTTGGTTATCTGAAATGGATTAGTAAAATACATCCCTCTTATTTGGCCTTACAATATCCTCTGCCCTTTCCATATGGTGAAGATGGTTTTTGACTTGGGATTGAGAAAGGACATACGCCAAAGAGAGTGCTGCAAAGAATTATAAGAAGAGTATGAGACAATTCTTTGCCTTCCAGAATAAAAAGAGAGCAAATGAAAGTCAAACACTTCTACGTTCTAAAGATTGTTTCAGAAAATTTACAACGATTGAATCAAATCTTTTATCCTACATTTTATACAACCAGTCACAACTGAGAGTTAATCTACAACCCGTCACAACTGAGAGCTAAAGATTAAGATTCACATCAAGGAATTTTACGTTCTAGAAATAATAACATCCCTAAACAAGGAAATTATCTTATATTCAAGATTTATTCACTAGTGGACCTAGGTATATGCTGCAGAAATATTATTATGTTACGGATATATGTAGACATTTTGGATTGCCTGACTTATGGATGAGGTTCCATCTGGACATGCTTATGATACCCATCATGTACGAAGCACCAAGGACCCGATCCGGTACAAGAACCATGAGAGAAGATTTCAACAAAGATGTAGAAAGCCTCATCAACCTTAAGAAGACAGAAGACATTACCTCCATACTCGAACAGCTTATTATCAGCAATGGTACAGACAGCCATACAAAGGATGGCGACATTACAAGAAGCATTACAGACCAGCCATGTACTGTGGACGAGAGCCTTACAGACCAGCCACGTACCGCGGTCGAGAGCATTATGAACCAGCCACGTACCACAGATGAGTGCATTGCGTTATGCATGACTAGAAGATTGACCGGCCAATACTTAGACGAATCTCAAGATGTTCAAAGCCCTCCCAAGTTCAAGTTGGATTCAAGCTTAGATGAATGGCCCCTTCTCAAAGATAATCTCGGCCCCACTTTGCTACTCATCGCCCTAACTCAAATCGGCTAAGCTTAAGGGAAACGTAGTGAAAAGTACTTGCCTTATTCAGATGGAACCAAGCAAGAGGCAATGGTAAGTTCTTGTCATTCAAATCTATATATCTCGTGTTTCCTTTCTTTTTGCAAGAATTTATTCTTAGTTTCTTTCTAGAACCTTAGAAGAGTAATCTTTTGCCTTTTTGGTTTTCCATGTATTTCGAAGGGCCAAAGGGCCAATAAGAGAGAGAGAGAGAGAGAGAGAGAGAGAGAGAGAGAGAGAGAGAGAGAGAGAGAGAGAGGGAAAGAGAGAAAGAGAGAGAGAGAGAGAGAGAGAGAGAGAGAGGAGAACAAAGGAGAGACCTCCTTAGAGTTTGGTATAAGGAGGAAAGATATGACCCCGTCACGGACGAGTCAGGTACCGCCGCACAGCATAGTCGAAAGAGAACATCCCTGTTCCCCCGAGACGATGCAAAACAGGATGAATCCCTCTTTAACTCGGAACCCTGCCCTTATATTCGCTATCCCTCTTTCGTAATAGAACCCTTATAAAACACCTATAAACAGATTGATGACCCGATCACTGGACGAGTCATCTAACCTAAACCCATAGAATCACCCCCCTGAGTATCTTATCTTGGTAGGGCGTTCATTGACTTGGGCGTCGGAGAACCTTCGGGAGAGAAACCCCCTTTCGGTCCTGCTGAAGGCCCGACTGACCTCATATGTAGTGCTTGCAAGGCTCGAATAGGCTCTCGCTGGTGCCCACAGGACACAAACAGGCTTTCGTCCCGGAATGACTAGTCGTCTTTCCCCCCAGAGGACAAAACTCGGAGGTACCACTCTTCTATCCGGATGAATGACACACCTCCACGTGGCATCCCAAAAATTGCTCTCGAACAATAGATAATATTCAAAATTATTATAAAATTTTAATTATTATTTAACATAACTTATCCATTTGTAATAATATATGTTATTGTAAACGCTAAAAAAAATTATAACATGTTAAAATAAATCAGTATCAAAAAACACAAAACGATATGAACAATTTGAGTAATTGTTATTAAACATTAAAACTTCATATGTAACATAATGTGTAAAAACATTATTACAACTAATTATGTTTATAAAAAAAAGTTATACATACATATGCGTGTGAGCCAACCATAAAAATTAAATAAATTATTATACATTTTAGGTTTTTCAGATTATTTCATATTTAAAATTTTGATCTAGTGAAGTTTTTTAAAATCTTGGGTACTGTTTTGCTATCTGTAATTTTTATTGAAATTTTTAACAATTTCTATTTGATTTATCGTTACTTTTATTATTAAATACTTATATAATATTATTATTAATAAGTAATTAATCATGTACAAATAAAGTATCTTCAGTATATAATATTTAACAAGTAAGATATTTTATAGCTTGTACGTGGTGCGGGACGATCACCTAGTTGATAATAACTAACAATATGATTTACGATATATATGCTAACATAGCATTTTATAGTTTAATTTAAATAATTAAAATCAGAATCCACGTTCACATTAAAAATATGAAAGATTGCAATGTGTTATTTTTATTCTAAACCGTTTTTTTTATTAAGATATATTTTATAATAGTTTAAATAAACAAATAAAACATTATTTTTTGCATTTGAAAGTGCATATGCAGCTCTTGGTTTCTCCTAGACACTTGCCTGATCCTTTCCACTTTGCAGTACACTGATTAGCACATTGTGTAGGGTTACAGATTTGTGGTTCTGCAAATAAGTCATGACATAATTCTTGTCCTTGCGTATCTTTCATCACCGTCCCTAATGATAAATAATGATAAATATATTAAAATCATCTTTTTAATTTTAACCAAAAATATATATATTAATATCATTTGAATGTTTTAATCATAAATTAAAATGAAGATGAACAAAAAATAGCAAATAAAAGAGAAGAAACATAAAAAAAATATATAAATTCTTGAGTGAAAAACAAACCTAAAACTAGAATGACCATGAACATAGCAAAAAAAGTGGCTTTCGTCATTTTATGATACAAATGATTCAAAATTTTATAGAAAAGAGAAAGATGTAATTCTAATGTACTCCTAAATATCATATATATAAGAAATTTGATGCATAATATATATCTACTTAATTCAACTAATAATTAATAAGTTTCTCAAAACACTAACAGTCAAAGATAAAATAAATGGGAAAGATATCAAGAAATAATATAAAAATAGAAACATATAATAATGTAATAAACCACAATTAATAATATCAAATCATAAATGAAAAATATTTTGGAAAAAGTCAAAATTAATCAAATAAATCTGAAAAATCAACTAATATTAAGTTACTCGAAACTTTAAAGGTTAAAGAGAAAAAAAACAAATAAGAAAGATATTTATAAATTAAAGTAGAAACATATAAGAATGTACTAAATAATAATTAATATATTCAATCATACATGAATAATTTTGTTTAAAAAGTCAATATTAACAAAATAGAAAAAATTCATTAAAAAATACATGACATATATTGTTAGAACCTCGTTTTTTCGTACTAAATATTATTATTTTATGATAGAATTTCTAACATCTCTTTAAATATATTGAGGATGATTTTTTTTTAACTTGATGAGTACCTACGTGATGCATGGTTTTTTGTTTCATAATATAATTTGTCAAAAAGTTTAGTTAAAATTTGTTTTATTATATTCCTAAAATGTTTTTCATGAACAATGGTAATTGTTTTTGTCATTGATATCTAGTCATCGTATTATTTTAACTTGAAGCTGCAATACTTTTTGACTACATTTTCCAAATATATTACAACTAAATGAGTATATAATGTTAAAAATATAACAAAAAGGTACTCATCTATTATTATATATTTTGTTATTGATGCGAAACTTATAATTCTAATGATGATTTATTATGTCTGAATTTTCGGCTGGCGTTCATTCTGAGGGACGACCGGCATCCTCCCTTTAGTCCTGGTGCATGGCCGGAGCTGCTTCGATAAAGTTAAGAGGCATCATGAATCTTCCTCCTCAAGGGTCTCCCTTTTTTTTCTCTCTCTCTCTGTTTCTCTAGATCAATCTTCTCTCTCGGATCCGATTTTCCATCTCAATCTCCTTTTGGCCCTTGCTCCCCTTTTATACCTCTTTTCTCATGTCCCACCCTATTAGTGCAGCGCATGGCGAGAGCAGGTGGGCTGGTGCAGCACGCCTTAGACTTGGAAAGCTCGCTTTCGACTTTGAAAGCTCTCCAACTGCCCGTACTGGTCTGCTTGATGTATCACACATTTATCTTACTTTTCTATACAATTATGTCATAAAACTAATTCTATTGCCTACTTATTTTGATCATGGTGATCCAACATATAGCTCTGCAAAATGTGGTGCTATATTCTGGTACGAAGAACGTATTAACAAAAGTAGAAATGCCAAAAACCTATTTTTTTAACTTTGTTGTATGCAAGGAACAGTTAAGTTACCATTTCTTAAACATGTTCCTAATATTTTAATAGCATTATTAACAAACGATGATGATATCAGCATACACATTAGAGATAATATTAGAGCTTACAACATGATTTTTATATTTGCATCTCTTGGTGGGAAAGTTGATAGATGTATTCCTAATGGACGTGGACAACCTATGTTTCAACTTCAAGGTGCAAACTATCATAAGCTTGGTAGTTTCAAGCCTCCGGACGGTGACTATCGTAAATTTTGTACAGCCCTATATTGTTGATATTGAAAATGAAGTAGACAACAAAGCATAATTTATGAGGTAAATTTAGTAAAATTAGAATGAATTTATATTTCTTTACCAAACTCTGTATTTGAAAATGAGAACAACTTCTTTTCATTTGCAGTAAGGTTAAGAAAACACAGACCTTTAAGGAGAAAATTAATTTCGGAAAGATATTATTGAAGCTCTCATGAAAATGCTTAATGAAGTACACCCTTATGTTAAGGTCTATAGGATGTCCAAAGAAAGATTTCAAACAAACGTGGATGAATCATTCTATATGAGGATCGTTGCTGATCGCACATGAAAGGATGGAAGGACATATAGTATGCCTACATGATACAATACTTGAAATGTGGCTCAAGTAAAACTTCTTTGAATCTTTGCTTCTAGCTTAAGGGGATGGAAGGATGACTTGAATGGTTGAGCTTGATGACCACAACTCCAAAGGTTAGATTCTGCTATCTCAAGGGCTAATCTACGCAAGAGAATAGAAGTTTCTACACAATTCTTCAAGGCTGATTCCACAAACACTTAGAAGAAAAGCAGGAACAAGTTTAGTTGCAAAGAACTTTCTTTGTAAACAAAACAAATGGGGGTTTAATTTCCTTAATAATTCTGAATATGAAATACAATGAAGTAGAGCTTATATAATGCTCAAATACAATGATTAGCAACTGTCATAATAATTAAAAACAGAAGCAAAGGTTGGGATTTTTGGTCTTGATATGAATCTTCTAGCCATTATCATAATGGGGTAAACTAGCTTGATTGGTGGCTTTGAGAATGGGATGAATCTTGGGGGCTTTAGCAAGGTATGAATGCTCAGGATGTGATGAAGTGAATGAATGGTCGAGATCCTTTGGTGAAAAGAGATTCTGGTCTTGCTTTCCAAAGGTAACAAAGTAATCAAGCTCTTTTAAGGCAAGTAGCTTCTTCTTGGTTTCTTCTTGGATATGGAACGGTTTCTGCTGGTTATTGGCATGGTTTAGTGATCCTGAATATCTTGAAATACTCCTTGGTGGTCGAATGAAGTGGTGGAGTGAATATAATGTCATGAAATCCCTTCTTTCCTTAGTTAGCTCCAATGTTGCTTCATTTGGTGGTTTAAGGCAATTTGGTGGTTCTCTTTGGTTAAGTGACGACTTGTATTGAACCAGGGATGATTTAGAAGGCTCCTTCTGATGATCAGAACGGTGGTGTTTTGATATATACTCCTCAGCTTCTTTAAACACAGCTACAAAGCCTCCAAGCTCCTCAGCTACAAGCTTAGCATCATCTGGTTTAGCTCCAATGCTTCATCTCTTGACTGGTTCAGTTGTATATGACTTGATGCTTACATCACTACATCATCTGAAGTAGCTGCTTTGATTCTTGGGGATTTTCAACTAGAAATGCCAGAGAGAGAGATATCTTTGTTCAAGAAAACTTTGGTTATCTGAAACACATCCCTCTTATTTGGATTTACAATATCCTCTGCTTTTTCCATATGGTGAAGATGGTTTTTGATTTGGAATTGAGAAAGGACATATGCCAAAGAGAGCGGCTGCCAAAAATCAGATGATAAGTGTGAGAAAATTCTTTTCCTTCCAGATTCAAAAGAGAACAAATGAAAGTCAGACACTTCTATGTTCTAAAAGATTATTCCGGAAATTTATCAACGTTTGAATCAAACCGTTTATCCTATATTATATACAACCAGTCACAACTGAGAGCTAAAGATTAGGATTCACATAAATAAATTTTAGCTTCTGGAAATAATAACTTCTCTGAACAAGGAAATCGTCTTCTTATTCCGGCTTCATTCACTAGTGGACATAAGTATATGCAGTAGCAATAATATGATGTTATGTATATATGTAAGCATTTTGGATTCCTTGAATTATTGATGAGGACCTCAATCTGGACAAGCTTAAGATGTCCATCCTGTACAAACCACCAAGGACTCGGTCTGGTACAAGTAACATGAGAGAAGAATTCAACAAAGCATTAGAATGCCTGCTCAACCTGAAGAAGACAGAAGACATTACCTCCATACTCAAACAGCTCATTAACAGCAACAGTACAGATGGCCATACCAAGGATGACGACATTACGAGTAGCATTACGAACCAGTCACGTACCTCGGACGAGAGCATTACAGTATGCGTGACAGGACGATTGATCGGCCAACCATTAGACGAATCTCAAGATGTTCAAAGCCATCCCAAGTTCAAGTTGGATTCAAGCTTAGATGAATGCCCCCTTCTCAAAGATAATCTTTGCCAAACTTTGCTACTCATCGCCCCAACTCAAAACGACGAAGCTTAAGGGAAATGTGGTGACAAATTACTTACCTTATTCAGCTAGAACCAAGCAAGAGGCAACAATATGTTTTGTCATTTAATTCTATATATCTCGTGTTTCCTTATTTTTTGCAGGGATTTATTTGTAGTTTCTTTCTAGAACCTTAGAAGAGTAATTCTTGTAATCTTTTAGTTATTTCCTTTGTATTTTTGGTCCTGCATTTATTTCAATTTTGACCCTAGAAGCTCAAGATTGACGAGCTATTACCAATTCTTGACTGGAGTGGACACCAAAGGCCTGGCCTAATGATTAATCAAGAAGCGATGGGAACGACGGACCTACGAATTCGCCAATTATGAGTTGGGCGCTTTAAGCTCCATATGTGACATTGTAGTCCACACTTACTACTTATTATCTATAAAGAGAGAACTTTCTTCCAAAAGAAAGTCGCCACCGAGTTCTAGAGCATTGAGAGGTTACGCCTTTGTTCTTGAGTTCAGAGCGACTTGTCACAGCTTTGTCATCAGCTGTGTGGTGTCATTCAGTCCATTGTACAGATAACCATCACTTTGGCTAAGTAAAGAGAACCGTTTGGTCAGTTACTTTATCCCTATTCCATCATTCCATCTATTTGTCCCGAACCTAAGTAAAGAGAGCTTTGTGGCCAGCTACTTACATTCCCCTATTGTACCGGTCTTATAAGATCATATCCGTGATCTTATATCATTTTGGTATCAGAGCTTAAACACTCAAATACCCGGTTTTATCTATCCTGTTGATTCTTTTGCATTCTCTTCATTACTTGTTTAGATATTTCACACATAAAAGAAAACCAAATAAAAATCGTGTGTTTTATTTCCGTGTTCCATTCGTGCTTGCTAGATTTATATTTTATATAAAAGAAAACCTCAAAAGAATTCGTTTTCTTAAGTTGTTAGAGTTAATATAAATCCAAAAGTAAAAATAAAATTAGTTAAGTGTTCTTATTGATTGTTTGCCTCGGCTAATGACTTGTTACACATGTGCTTTTAATCCTTTTGATAATCTAAGTC